ACACGAGTGTCTGGGCTTCAAACCGCAGCAGGGTGATGCCCTGTTTAGTCTATCGAGAGCAGAGCAGATAGAGCCGGAACACRGGGCTCTTGTTTGGCCGCGGGTTCCCACAGAGCTCCGGGCATTTTCCGTGGTCACGGCGGGAGGAGGGATCAAATGCTGCCGAGCGGGAAGCCCCGGGCTCACCGAGCACAGAGATCAAAGTGTTCCCAGGACTGCGCCGCTTTTGCATTGCCCTCCAAACGCTCAGGTGGAGAGTTTACATTTAAACTGGGCGACAGCACAACTGCTAATGCAGCTCTGCGTCCCAGAATTAATATGGGTAATAGTCACCTAGCAAATAGCTTAAAGCAAAAATCCAAAGTAACTGCCCGAGTGCTTTAGCGCAAACATTTCTGGTTTGCCCTGTTCTTAAGGCAACTTTTCTTTCCTATTGCAAGTTGACTTGATATGTATTGATCTGATTTTGACAGGATTAAACTGGTAAATTGATTTAAAAAAAAAAAAAAGACAGGATTCTGAACTACTTCTGGGTACCCATACAACAAATACATGAACCTGCCCTCAAAGCTGTGATGAGGGCTCCAAAGCCGTGTCCAGGTTTGCTCTCCTTCCTCTGGAGCAGGGCAGGCAGGCGCAGCAGGGCCACGTCCTCCTTCCCGCAAGGCGGGCGCAGAGGGAGAAGCCGCCACAAGAGCACGAAGGCGCCCGAGCTCTGCGGCCCCTGGGAATTACGGACAAAGTGCGCTTGATAAAGCGGCCAAGAGCCTCCCCAAGTCTTATTTCCAACGCAACAACGCACGTGCACTAACTGAAMGGCGCTTTCCAGGTAAAACCCCCGCAAAGCGGCTCACAGGTGAGCTCGGGGGCCCGGGAAGGACAGCGCATGGCAGCACACGCCTCGGAGAGGCCGAGRGCAGAGGCCGGCGCCTCTGCCTTCCCAAAAAGCTCTGCACCGAGCTCGGGATCTGCAAAACTGCAGGTTCTCCCGCGAGCCGCAGCTCGTGCTGCCCCAGCTCCCTCCAAAGAGGAGCCCCTGGGAGCAGCCGGGGTGCCGGAGCACAGCCGGGCTGTGCTGCGGGGAGCGGGCTGGAGCGCGGAGGAGGGAGCTCCGCTCCGCAGCGCGGCCGCCCTCTCCAGACACCCCGGCAATTCACACGCAGACACAATATTTATCCGTCTCACAGATGTTATAGGAATTTCCTCATTAAAATATTTAGCTATCTAAATGCCACTAGCAAACCACTGCATAACCTGTATGTTAACAATAGGCCCGATGAGCTCGGAATAGACCTCATAGTCAGGAGGTACTCAAACGTACACGTTTGCAGAACCGCCTGCAGGTCAGCTGCGGGGACTCGACTGCACTGGAACTCGCTGTACAGCTCTTCTGATCTGGCAGAATGGCTACATCCCAGGATGATAAAGCACTAATAACTACTCCTCCTTCATGAGCTCGGGAATTACAGTGCAGCTGTACAGCGGCTGTGGCGCGAGTGGCGGGCGCGACTCCCCGTCCCCTTAACCTGCCCCACAACATCAGCAAAACGAGCACATTGCCGAGTGTGACCGACTGCAAGCGAGGCCCAGAGGCTGCTCGGCAGTGCACAGGTTCACAAGGACGCTCGCGAGCTGCTTGGGGCCCAAACAGCACCCGAACAAACTGCCCGCAGCCTAGGAAGGGACCCCGGCTCGCAGGAAACCAACTGCTCTTGGCTCTGAGGAGCACGTAGTGAAGTCATGTCAGGTTACATACCAAAAACAAGAGCAATAACAAACAAGGAAGCARGGGAGAAAGGCAGATTAACTTTGCCCTGGCCAACAACAGCAATGCTGGAAAAAAATGTGCCGAAGGGTCAATAGCATCGTAATGAGCGTGTTGACAGGAACCGTTCTGCCTTTGCACGGAGCAGAACTGACAAAACCAGGGAAAGACTGGCCCATTTTCCAGCTCACGGAAGTGCCAGAGGCTGCAGCAGCAGCTTTTGCTTGCCTTTAAGGAGCCCAGCACAAAAGTGATCTCAAATCCTATACAAAATGAAGCTATATTCTCAAATGCCTCTGCTCACTACCTCATTCCTGCACTGGCTAATTCTACAGCAGGTTGATGCCCCAGGTTGCTTCTAATAAAGTTATTTTTCTGCACATAACAAAGTCACGAAGCCAATCAAGTGGCAGACTCGGGCAATCGACAGTATTCTCGTGCTGCGTTAATGAAAGTGGCCGGACGGGAACAGAGATGCTGCTGCTTCCCCGCTCTGTCATTAACAGGGGACCATTCAAAGCCTCRCTCCTCCCGCAGGAGGGCCCCAGGTGCCAGTGTCCGCGGGGGAACAGCGCTGGCGAGGCCTTTGTGGAGCTGGYGTCACTGCTTTAGTTAGTCACAGATTGATTGAGCAGTCGCAGCGACGCCTGCTCCGAGGCTGGCTGCCTTTTGCAGGCCTAATTGCAGTGTTTTGTACCTGGTACCAACAAAGGCAGCTTCCCCATCTCCGGGAAGGAGCAGGTCGCTCGGGACGAGCGCCRAGGAAGGGCTGGAAGCGATGTTTAATGCGCAGGGCACAGCCGAGCCCGCGCAGGACCCTTCCCCAAGCTCTGCGGCACCACCAGCCCTTCCCTTCCTTGGGCTACAAGCAGCTGCCGCGGTCCCCGTGCCCGGGAACAGTCGGAACAAACGTTTTGGCGACCGGAACCCAAGGATGTTTGCGTTGGGTTGTCATTCCTCCTATGCAGGGTTCCACCTGGAAGATGCTATCTGAAGGCTGCGTCCCCTCTGCGGCTGTAACAGGCAGGCAGAGCTACCACCGCCTGCCACGAGTGTTATTTTAGGCTGCATCATTTCCCACAGCATCAACAGCCTTCACGGGACAAGAGGAGCCCACACGAACAAGGGCTGGACCTGCTTAGGATGAGCAAAGCCCSGAGAGCACCTTCAGCTGCTGATTATTACTGCTGTATTGGACGACTCAGGGGAGGAAGCAGCAAACACTCAATATACTGGAACAACAGGCATTTACTCCAGCAAGAATTTGTGGTAATAAAGCCAGAKAATTTCCATCTGTGCTTTCCCCAGAACACAGGATTAAGGGGGTTCAGAGTTGAGCATCTACCCAGGTATTTTCTAAGCATTCAAGACAGGGAATACAATTCCCTGCAGCAAGGAGCCCTGCAGAGCCCGAGCTCACTGCAGTCCGAAACCTGATTATTTACCCTAGATGCAATATTACAGAGCATTACAAGCGAGTCATTTTTGCTATGACTGCATTTGCTACCTCCAAATTATTTCCACGCTGGCAGGCTCTGAAAGGAGGAGGGCTGGCGACCGTGGCACTGCAGCGCTCGCCTCACCCTCCGGCACGCTGAAACTTCCCAACAGGCTCCAAGCATTTTCCAAGCACCATCGGACAGAGGCCTCAAGACTGAATTCCTATGCAGAATGTTTGGTCCGAAAGCGAGGTTGTGGAGTCGGTAATAACCATCATTTTTATTTCTGCTGCTTTTCAGGGCTTTCCTCTGTCAGGCAGAGGGACAATAAGGCCTTTTGCCAGAAAAGCACCATCAAAAACCAGAGCACACAATGGCTGCCTGAAGCGGGAGGGAAGATCTGTCAGCAGCAGGACGGAGGGATGAAGTTTCTCTCCCCGTTCAGGAGCCAGGACGGGGCGGGGGCAGGAGCAGGAGATGAAGTTTCCGAAACAGGGAGCTCTTTCTGCAGCAGTTCCCAGCAGGATCCAAGGATTCTGCCCTGGCAGGGCTCCTTCCCGCTTCCTTTCCTGCCCCGGCAGCGTGGATGGGAGCTATTGATGCAGCTGCCTTTGGCCTGGCTATCATTAACACGTCCCAGGTGGGTAACACCCCTCCTCGCCCCAGACAGGGGCTATAACGTGGGGCTTTATGAGCCAGCGGGGCGATCCTGGAACTGAAATATAGAGTAAGGCAAAGAACTGAAACACATTAAGGGCATAATATATTGAAATGAACTCTCAGCCCCTCAGCAGCCYCTCTAACCAAGAGGAACGGTGCCAGCAACTGCCTTTTAGCATCACTCTCCGCTCACAAAGCTAAGACGCTGCCTCATCCAATAATGCAGCTTKTAAAGGATCGCGAGAAAAGCAACTTCCCTTCACATGGTTTGGAATAGCTCCAGCTCTTAATAAATGCAGAATTTGACCAAAACTTCTTTGAATGAAAGAACTGTTGAACCTTCACCTGTGGAAGTGAAAAACATCCTTACATATTTAAAGCACACTGTGAATTACTGAATAGGGAGGCTGCACCATTTCTAAAGCATTTGCTGASATAAAGACATCAGGCTGTTATTGCAGGCTTGCTCTGGAATAGCAAACAGTCCCGGGGGAGACTACGGCAGAATGCAAATCCACGCACCCTACACGCCGCACACCACCACAGCAGAGCCCTGGATGACCCCGGTGCGGAGCTCCCGGCGGGTGATTCCTCGCRGGAGCGGTCGCGCTGTCAGCACTCCAGTCACCACCTCGAAAGCACCAAAACCAGCCCGTTTCCCACAAGGGAGCAGCAAGGCCAGCGCATTCCCTGCTCTCTCCGGCTGTTCCATGCGGGCGGGCAACAAGCTGGCGCAGGAAGGCAGCAACAGGCGGAGCGCGACTGTCGCAACAGGCAGAGGTAGAGCCAGAGGTGATTTACCCCTGGCAGCTGCTGGCTGGGGCTTTACTTCTGCAATAAGGACCCCCCTCAGCAAAAGTCATGCAGAAAAAATGAGCATTATTCGTATTAATAAATACTAGATAACACAATGCTATCAAATAATGGGACCAAATAATAATAGATCCATTTAAGACAGTTTAAGGCTTTGGAAGCACTAGAGAATGACACATTTAACCAGAAAACTACGAACACCGCCGATTTCCAGACGGGAAAACTGCGAATCCCGCCGATTTCCAGACCTTGGGAGGGGGGGAATCCCGCGGGACCCTCAGCACCCCCGCCCCCGCGCGGGACCCTCCGCCGCCGGGACCCACCGCGCTGCCGCCGATCACCGCCTCGTGCTTCTTGAGGCGCGACTTGAGGCTCTTCATGGCGGCGCCGGGTGGGCGGGAAGCGGCGGCCCCGGCCGGACCTGGACCCGCCGCCGCCGCCACGGCCGGGACGGGCGGACCGCCCCGCCGGCACCGCCCGCCGCGCCCCGCCCCCGCCCCGCCGCGCCCAATCGGCGCCCGCTCAGCGGGAGGGACGGCCAATCACCGCGCGGCACGGGGGAGGGACTTCCCCGTTTTAAAGTCCACCTGAGGGGAGGGCGGGGTTGGGGCGGGGCTTTTGGAGCCACGCCTCCTGGTCCCGCCGCGGCTGCGCGGTGCCGCCCGCCCTGCAGGGGGCGCCGCCGATGGGAGGGGGMGAAGGGCGGGGGCGCCCGTCTCCGTGGCAACAGCCGTCTCCATGGCAACACGTCCCCCTAGCGGAATTGCAGCACAGGCTTTTGGGTTTAAAAGTGGCAAATTTCGCTCACTGTGGCCAGGCTGGAATTATTCAGTCCTCACAACRCTCCCTGTTTAAGGGAGGTGCAGGAATAGCGGTGAAGTCCAAGGCCATTTCACCGGCTCGAGCCAAGCGTGGGGTTGGATGCTCGGCTCGTTCAGAGCAGAATAWCCCCCAGGTCTGCACAGGAACGGCGGAAGAACTCAAACACATTCCAGCGCGTTCACACTAGCACCCGTGTCTGCCAAGACGCTGAAAAACAAATGTTCATTAAGCCTTTATTTCCCAAACTTTCAGTTCTACAAAGTGATGAGTTATTAACTGGTTTTCAGGACCGAACAGAGCAATATCTCTCTGCTCCCGCCACCGACTTTATGTGGTTTAAGGAAATCTCCTGGTTTAAACACTTCATCCCTTCCATCATTCCAGCGTGAGACGCTGGGAATAACCACTCCAAGAGCCTCCGCAGCCCCACAGCTGTTCCCTGCTCCCAGATCATCCCAGATCATCCCACCCCTACACCTGCTGAGGAGCACCCCGGCTCTCACATTCCGAGGGGGAACATGGCTGCTCCCGGTGCAGGCTGAGCCCTTCCCGAGACGACGATCCACGTGGAGCCTCTGCACGGAATCCACGTCCCGGCCTGTCCTCTTGGGCCGAGGACAYGGACCCGAGAGGGCCCATCTACACGCTTATTCCTCCAAACTTCGTGCCTTGCCCCTCACAATTATTTAATTCCAGCTTCCTGGCACGGCCCTCAGCCTATCAGCGAGACATTCCCTCGCCAGCCCCCCGCATCCCTCAGCATCCCTGTGCCGCCGTTCCTTGCCTTCCCTCGCCTCACYGTGCGCTTTCCTGGCCAGAGCGGCACCCGGCACGTTCGTCCATGAGGGAAAATGCAGCCAATCTTCCCCGGATCGCACTTGCTAGGGCACAAACAGCCGAGCACAACGTGGGGGTTAGATAACTCACACTATCTCACTCTGTTTCTGCTCCAGCGTTTCATTTTTACAGCAATCTTTGCTTATCCCGGCGCGACAAAGCGCAGATTTATTCCAGCCGGGCTTGTGCGACAAGCACGGAGTTAATGGGACACGGAATTGGCTGCCCTGTCCCCTAACAGGCCCGAGATCTAATTAATCTCTGGCAAGTTCATCTGAAATAGAAGCAGCGCTGGCTCACGCCGAGACGCGCCGATGGGAGCCAAGCTGTGTGGAGTGATAGGAGGCAGAAACAGCTTCACCCTGCCTYTTCCTCGCAGTTACACGCCAAGGTYGGAGGTTTCCATTAGCAGAGCGATGTTTGTGCCGCTCCCTCCGCCCTCGCCAGCATTTAGGGAGAAATATTTGAACCCGAGAGTCGCAGGCTGGCCCAGGGCTAAGCGATACCGACTTGCTAAGTCTGTGCGCGGGAGGGACAACCCCGCAGCAGGTTTCCCTATGGAAAATGATTCCTTGCCTTCCACCTACACTGCATGACATCTTCACCTGCATCCACATGGTTGGGGAGCACCCTCCAGGCACGCGGCTGCCACGTTTGTCTTCAAAGAGTCTTTAACACTTTGGGTTTTTTTCCCTTTGATTCACAAATACTTTTTAAGATGGAAAAACAGACCGGTTCCAATGCACTACACTTTTTTTTCAAGCATTTAGCTTATCCATCAATGTGCTGAAAAGGCACAAAAGTCAAATCCCAGCAGGACTGCAAGGGAACCACCTTCCTTTCTATTTGGGTCACGGAGCTACCCAGCCACTTCCTGCATTGCTTTCTGCCTTAATCATCCGTATAAATTAACCTCCCCGCCTGGCGCATCATGCGAGGAGGAGGAGGAGGATATAATTTTATCTCTCTYTGATTGATCCCACGAAGAGCCGCAGATCTTGCCCAGTCCCGAGACCTGGTCGTTCTGGCACTTCTTGCTGCCCGCATTGTGCCCGCRCTGACACACAGGCCTTGGGGAGCCCAAGCTCTTATCTCCCTCCTTTTCCCCCCATTCTGCTGTGCGTTCCAAGGAAAAGAGGATAAGGGAGAAAACGTGTTTGGACGGAAATGCCTGCGCGGCGGGCGCTTGCAGGCGCTGCTCCGAGCCAGCCTGGCGCCACGCTGCCCGTTGGAAAAGCCAGGCACGGGGCAGCGGCTCGGGAGCCAAAACCAGCCGCCACCTCGGATGTGATCCTGTATCGCTGGCAGCCGCTCCAGAGTGGGAGAGCTCGGGGAGCGGAGCCGGCGGGATGTGCGCCCTGCCAAGGTCTGGACCAAGCAGTCGACACAGCCCGAGGGCAGGGAGCCCATGGGCAGCACGTCGTGGTCCGAGGGCAACGAGCCGATGGGCGGCAGGATCTGGTCTAAGGGCAGGGAGACAATGGGGCGGCTGCAGAACCTGCAGTTTTTGATGGAGCCCACGGGGCTCAGGAGCAAGGGTAAACGGGGGAGAAAGGGGAAGCTTCCAGCAGCACCAGCACTGACTCCATGACAAGTGGTGAGTTTTCCCATCAAGAGCACAGAACAACACAACATTCAGATTTTAGCCTTTAAAACTGCCATCAGTTGTACATAACTGCACATCCTTGCTGAGTAAGGGCTCTCCATCAGTCTGCTGGAGGTAATTATCAGCACTTACAGGCTCTGGAAGGGTCCCGGGGCGAGRGAATCCAGTCCCCAAACTCAGGCGCTGGGGCTGTAACCAAGGCCCTTCACCGAAGGAAAGGCGGCATCTCCCCGTTAATGCTGCTGAACTCGGTACGGAGGTTCATACACTCAGAGCAGACTCGACAGGGCACTGCCACAACGCGCTGTGGCTGATACAGATACAAAGCACCACAAACAACRTCTGAAATTAAAAAAGTTTATTTGAATATCTGAAAAACAACTGTGAAAGATCAACATTTCCAGGACACTAAGGTGTGATAATGGGTTTTCCTATTGTTAGAATGTAAAAAACTCACAGTCCTTCAACTATCTAAATAAAAGCATACATTTAATTGACCAAACATTTCACTTTCAGCACCATGAAAGCAAATGGGTTTGAAAGTTGGAGTAGTGAACAGCGTCAGCACTAGGTGATCACAACGCCCGTGGGTCTGTGTCCAGGTTTAACTAAGCAATAGAACAGTTTAGGTAGGCAAGTCTTAATGTCAGACCAGACCCACGAGTGCTGGGGAGTTCAGACAAGAAATACCAAAATTGCATTTTTTTCTACATTCCATTGAGAAAAAAAAATAGTAGCAAGCGAGAAACACTGAAGACTCCCATAGACTCCAGCTCCCAATCCAGAGCAAGAAAGTCTTCAGACCTTAGAGCTGCCAGTTCCATTTGAACACACACAACTTTATTCACGTTATGTTTACAGAGTTTGTGCAATAGCGACATGTGCAAGAGGAGGATGAAGAGCAAGACGCAGGAGTGGGCAGGCTCATCCGAGGAGYGGCTCGGCTGCGAGGGAGCCCAGCACTATACGGCTTTGCGGTGGTACTCGGGCGGCGCTACCTCGTAGTCGCTGGCGCTGAACAACGCCGAGGAATTCTTTGCTAAATACCTACGAAAGAGACATTAATAAAGATTAAAACACCCTTTTGCCAAGMGTGTTGTTTAACGTGCCATGACTCATTTGTAAGTAATTGCTGAGATCACAAAACACTATTTCCAGAGTACAAGTCTAGCATGTTTTAGAAGCCAACTGCTCAAAGCAATTAAAGATGTGACAGCTCATACCAAAGTAAATTCCAAGCACACTCTCGCCAAGCAAACCTGGCTCCAAGAGAACACGAGAAGTTTCAGATTAACAGGGAGGAACAACTTCCCCTTCGGCCGGCTGCTGCGCCAAGAATCCATCGACTGCTGATAATGCCCGGGAAATCGGGACACCAGGCAGCTCCATTGGAACAAACATGGAGCTTTCGYTGCTCAGTGAATAAAGACCAGGAGCACCAGCCACAACCAGCTGGGGGGCAGCCAGACCATCACTGCCCACTGGATGGACCTAGTGCCCTGGCTCCGTTTCTCTACCCGCACGGCTGACAGTCCTTTAGCACTTGCCCTCACCCTCCAGTGGTCATCCAAGGCCCTGTGTGAACTCAAGAAACTTTGGGATTATTCTCAAACAATTTGCCTCTGGAAGTCAGGCTTATCTATTTCCAGCTTTTCAGCAAGGTAAAAATCACCTTCTTGGATCAGCTGAGGGTTCTCTTTGAACCTCCAACAGTTGGTCCAGTCACACAGCAGAAAGATTTAATCTTTATTAACAGTACAGATCAACCCCAATTACTTACCAGTCAGGTAACCAGTATAAACTGGTATAGTAATAGTACAGTAAGTAACTGGGAGTTACTTACCAATCAATATCCCCCAGTTTTATGAATTGACCACTACAGTCTTGGATGAGAGAAGACAGGACATTCCCTGCCAGGACAACCAAACGGGAGGTGCAGAGCTGGAGCAGGGGTGCAGCGGGCGGCATGGCGAGCGCAGGGGGCAGCCCAGCGACATGTAGGGGCCGTTCAAGCCGCCCACTCGCTCCCACACACCCACATTTTACCGCACAACCAGGACATCATCTCCTCCGTGCTCCGGGGTACGGCCAAGGCCCCACGGTGGTGCTTCCCACCCACACCAGGGCTGGGCAGGTGCCCGCTTCAATCGTCCCTCAGTGCTTAGCGTGCAAACCTCACCCGAAACTTGCGAGAGGARTGCCCACAGCAAAACAGCAGCACGGTGCAGAGAGCAAAGCCACCAGGGAGGCTGCCCCGGTAGTAATTGCAGGCAGTTTAATTGCTCTTTAAGAGTTGATTATTTAGTAACTGTTGTATTCTAATTGCCAGGTTTTTAAATAACTGCCACACATAAGTGCTTCAACATTTACTCTGAAACAAGCAGCACTCGTTGCCAGATAAGCATGTGTGTTCACAGGCCTATCAGTGTGTGCACACCTGATAACCTCGCACACCGGAGAGCCCAGAACAGCCTCGCTCACATCTACCAGCCGCCCCGTTGGCTGCAGCAGAGACGCCGCTCGGGCACAACACACACATGCAGCCGCCGCCTCCTCCACGTTACTTTCCAAGCCGTTAGCCAGCAGCACGGCTCGTACTTACTTCAGGAAGTCGTGCAAGTAGTTCAGGAGCAAGGCCAGGCTCTTCTCATCGAGCGGCGTGTAGGCGAGCATAGCTCCGATTCGCACTGCAGAAAGAAAAGGCACTTAGGTGCAGTTAAACTGCTTGGGCAAGCGTTGCAGTACGCTCTAAACCTTGTACTAGGGCATATAAAAAGCCACGGTATATACTCTTATTATATATACACACCAAGTTACACTGAGTAGGTAGAATAAAAACAAATGGGCTTTCAATAGTCTAAACTCATGAACTACTCTGATCGTTTCAGACATATGGGGTAAAGAAAAGAGGAAAAGAATGAAGGCACTGGTTTCAAAGTCTTTTTTTTTTTTTTTTTTTTTTTTTTTCCCCCTCTCAGATTTCTGCAGTTCAGGCATACTGAGAAAACACAGGAAAAGCAAGCATTTCGTACCTTTAACTGCTCCCCTTCAGCTCACAGACATACTCACCAAATAACCTCAGTAGATGCGGGGCACCATAGACTTGAGACATGGGAGCATCGGGGTGATCTGCGAGGATTTCAGCATATTGGGGCCTCTCAAACTTGTAGAGCAGCTGAGTGCCCAGCATTACGTTGAAGTATTCTTTAATTCCAGCCACAACTTCATTCACAGCATACTCCCTGGGAAACAGAAACGCTTCAGTCGCATTCTAATGATGGGACAGACGAGATCAGAGCTTGTTTCTCAGTCTCTCCAAATCATGAAGCTCGCGGGACTTGGGGAATAAAGTTGTCTGGAGGCCTTAAAAGGCCTACAGAGCTGTTGGGAATGTATGGAAGGATCCATTTCAAGAGCTCCCTTCAAAATGAACTGCTCTGAACTCAGTGAGAACTTATACAAGCAAAAGCTTCTTGCTTTTATTCTTCTTTTCACTTTAAGAAATTAGCTTAATTCCTATAGCAGTTTGTTCAAAATRGCAGCAAATAAGTTTTGGTAAGGAAACCGGCACTGCTGTTTTCACCAAAGCTGATCCCAGCTCATATCAGTTAAGTGCAATATTCARTCGGACAGATCTCCTGCTTAAAGGGAAGAGGGAGCTACCAGGTATTTTGGAAAATTGACCCTTTAACTGCCTCAACTGCACCTGCTGCAGGGCTCCAGCTTCACATGTAACTAAACAACCACCACCCAGATGTTGGTGTGCTGTACAAACAGTCACACTGCACACCCAAACAGTACAACCCTCACCCTGCCCTGCAACCAACCTCAGGACACAGGCACTAGAGCAATTAGAGTCAATGATATACTTCCACTTGAATGGAATAATATTAACCGGAATAACAGAGGAATAACTGCATCTTTAGAGTTCCTGCTCCTTTGAAGTAGGAAGGTTTCACGTATCAGGAGTGTCTCTTCTCTGCCATCAGGGCTTGAGCTAGGCTAACTGCAAGTGGGAATCCTGGGGGCTCTCACCTCAGAGCAGCCACCTTGGCCCCCCTGATTCCCTCTACGCCAGGCCCAGCCCCCTCGTGCCTCTCCCTGCCCCGCTATCCACGTGAGCRAGTGCCCCTGCACCCAACCCCCTCGACAGTTTGTTCAGCTCATGCCTGGCACTCCTTTCATTCAGCTCACGCAGCCGAATGAAGGGGACGGAAAGGCACTTGATTCCCTCCGTTTCCACCACAGAAAAGGTTTGAGCGGAGAAAAAAAGCGATATATTCCAAGGAGCAAAACTACATTTACAAATCATGTCAGACTGGAAGACRGAGGTAGCGAAGGAGGCCACATTAAGCTGGAGAGTCTGAATCTATGTAACAAACAAACTTAGGTTTTCTGTGAAGCGTAAGTAAAMCAAAAAACATGTAGTTTGAAATTACTGCTTACTTGTTATCGGTGTTCCCGCGCGATTTCTTGTAGCTGGCATAATCCTCTAGGATGGAGTCAACATTCTTCTTGGCAGGAAGATAGAAGAGCTATGAAAGAAGTGGAACAAATACCAATTGGTGAGTTTGCACAGACATTTCTGTTTGCATGTTAACCTTGCCCTCAAGTAAGGACATGTTCAGAACAGAATTCAGGTATTCAGTGTTATTAAAGGAACACCTAGCTGCTTTGCTTTATTTGCAGCATTAAAAAAAGCAGCAGCACCTACACGCCCATTTCCAGTTCAGGTTTGTGCTTCTCAACAGCACGGTTACAACAAGCTGACAGTCGCTGCAACAGGCGGAGCTGCACAGCAACACACACTTCACTGGGCAGCTTCCTTGTACCGCAGCCTTACAGCCCAAAATCATTCAGGAAATAATCAAGTTTCTARAACTGGACTGACTTTAACATATTAGTGCTTCATTACTTTTGTTCCACATGCAGTTCTCAAATTTGTACTCATCAAGAGGTCAGCCCTACCCACATGGGCTTGAAAACAACAAGTTCTGCTTGTTTGGGATGATGAGAACAGAGGCAGACCCCCAAGGGGCAGTCAGAGTGCAGCACTGCAGCCTGCCAAGCTATTCTCCAAACTGCCATTACTCTGCATTCTTCTTGCCAATTCTAGTAATTGGTTTCACACATGGAATAAGCCAAGAATTTTCAACAAACTTTTAGGCAACAAAAATAAATACTTTCTCTTAAAATTAAAAAAGAAGTTTATTTGGGTAAATTAATTAGGCATATTAAACTTGCATTGATCCAACCTGGTAGAAGAATTAAAAATCACTGCCCTAAGATGCAGCTGTCGTGAGGGGTGCAGTACAACTTTAGATACTTTACATCCCACTCGCTGTCATGTTCTCAGCAAAGTTTCAGGAYAGGAAGGAGCTGAAGGAAAATACACACCACAGGGGATGTTCTTATGCACCAGTCCTCTACCAACTAAGTAAATTGCAGCAAACAAACATAGGGTAACATCACACAAAGCCAGACAGGCTGAGAGTTAACTGAGGCTTTAACTTATGCCCGATTAGACTAAATCRGATGCAAGAATTTCTTCCATAGGTTTACGGGCAATTCTGCTGAAAGAGTCCTGCTCACGAGGGGCCGCTGGTAGGAGTCCACTGGCAACCAGATCCAACTCCCCCAAGCCACCAGCATTACTGGAGTGGGTCAGCTCTACAAGATATCCTGCTTTACTGCACTTATAACGAAGTTCCAGTTTCACTGTTCATGCCTATGTTAGGCTGGACAGCTTTACTTGCTTTCTAAGTAAAGGCAGAAAACAAAATACCTGCTTTTGCCTGGTGATCAAGTCCCAGTCATCTACAAGCCATGGTTTCAGCTCTTCTGGAATTTTCACTTTTACTTCAACCCTGTTCATAAATGTTTCTTCCTGAAAAATAGAGCAATATCAGGCAAATTACTTTCAGATAATTGCCCAAAGAGTCACCATATGCCATCTTCCACAATGGAAATACACCAGTGAACMGAGTAGAGCAATTCCTGTTGGCTCCACAGGCAAATGGGGACATAGATTAAACTTCCCAAGCTATTCCACTTGGGAGGCACAGCTTTGTGAAGCTGTAACATTCCACGCTGTTCTGCTACAGGGCAACATTGATGCTTATTTCTCTGATTYTTCCCCCTTTTCTGCCAGCACTCCGGTGAGAGTCAAACCCTTACGCTTTCAACTGTTGGATCTACTCGAGCCCTCTTCTTCCTAGGAGGCTGGGGAGTCTCGCTGGTGCTGCTGCCTTCTCCAATTCCAGGAGCTGTATAAAAAGCAAACCACATACAACACAAATATGGCAAGGCAGTAAAAATCATCAGTAAAGAGATTTAGAAGTAAGATTCGGGGTTCTCGGGTCATGGCTGTTTGTTTTTAAGTAAGTGTTATTACTTGTCTTCTGGACGCCTCACACATTTGTGACAGTTTAAGCAGATATATTTATATTTATCCAAATACATTTTTTCCCTACTAAGAAGCTGGTATGCATTACATACTTGCTTTTCAGATGCAGCAACTCAGTCTCGTAGTAATGTCACATCTCTCTCTCAATAAGAAAGCTCAAGTTTGACTAATAAATTTATTGTAACAGATTTGAACAGACACCACTTGGCTTTCAATTCACAAGGGGTCCAAATTCGCAGGCTGCAACAAAGAGTTTGCACAGAAACCAGCAAGAAGGGAGCCCTGAAGACCRAAAGGAACACAAGGTGACAGCAAACTTGGCCGAGGCAGATTTAAGGTCTTGCCTCAACTAAGAATCCTTCACTGAAGATATCCACTGGTTTTTTTTTATACAGAATAGATGTACTTACTTTTCTGTTTGTTCTTTTTTGTTTTCCTGCAAGAAGAACACAAATTATTGCAAAAAATAAAGATAGCAATATTTAGAAAACTGAAAGTTAGAGACACAAGCTGTCCCAGAAGTTTCTAACAACACTCAGAGTGGCCTATGGAATATTTAGATAACCACAAACGAAAGCAGAAGAGCCAGGGATCAGCTCAGCTACGATGCTTCACAATTTCCATGTAATATGGTAAAATTCATCAGTTTGGGGGCTTCAGTAAACTCAGCATGAACAACTAAACCTACAGAAACCCAAAAGATGACACGTGAGGCACACACCAGCGTTTAGCAGCAGGGCTGCAGGCAATGTGTGCAGACACTCACCAGGCTTTGCAAGCGCAAAACGGGGAATTATCAGGCAGGTCTCTGACAACTGACRTAACTCGCACTCTCACACTGGAAAGCACACAGCTTTATGACACAGCAGCAGAGSATGATTTAAATACGACTACAAGAGGTATGAAGCTGCATGGGCTAATCCTATGATTGCACGGGAAGCATTCAGAGATCCCAGTTATGCCTACTTGCTGCCTAGAACAGCACTAYTCAGTACWATKCCAAAAGTTTCTCTTCCAAATGGGSTTCTCGAAACACAATTCCAATTTCCATACTTCCCCAAGCTGCTCTAAATTCACTATCCTTAACCCTTACTTTTATTACAAATGAAGAGGTACTAGAAGATACTGACTTCCAGAGAAACCTAAATACAATTCACAGTATGTAAAAATATAGGACAAGAGTATCAAAGAAAATATAAAGCTCTACTGGATGTTTTTGTTCGGTAAATATACAAGTTCAGATAACCTATCAATATTAATTTTAGTTTTCTGAAGATAAGAGTACTATTAGTCATGTTTTTACTTGCTCACCATGAACAGGGTCCAGCTAAACCTCTCAAAGTTTCCAGTGTGCCATATTCTTTACGAAGATGAAGCGTATGTTTCCAGACTGCATGTATAAGATGTTCTTTTAAACCAGTACAAGATCGTTGCTCGGATATTCACCGTTATGAGGGATGACATTTGTACTGAGCCTCTGAGCGGGCTCTAGCAGTTACCGGAGGCACGGAGAGTTTCTGGGAAGCTCTGAGGAGGGCAGCAAGGCAGTGCAAGCTTCAAGCACAAACAAGCACTGGGCCAGAATAAAGCAGGGACCATCTCTCTTCAGGAAGAGGCTTGCCAAGCCAAGTCCCTGATAACCAGGGAGTGCTTTCTTCCAGTCCAGAGCAAACAAGTGGGAACAGGCTGTTCTTTTCCGGATTAAAGGCACAGGATAAAAACAATAGGAGTAGAGTCCTAGAAAGCTGGAACAGAAAGACAATATGAAGTCCTTCAAGAACTACTTCAATTAATTTGGTAAAACATGTCTTTGTGAAATTCAAGCACAGAGCATAAATCCTTCTCTACAGTTCCTTGTGCCTTCCCTCACATTCTCAACAGTTGCTCGTGCACCACTGGGCACGAGCTGGGCCCCGAGAGGAGCAGCGCATCTTCCGTGGCAACCCCACGGACCAGAGAGGCACCGGAGAAACACCTGCCTCACGGTGACAATAAATTCCATGTGCACAAAAGGAAAGCAACTCTCCAACTGACACGAACAGGTAAAACTCATCTAGGAGAGGTCCAAACATCCTCTTGTGCCGCTTCATGTTGTCGCTGGAAGAAGCCCTAGAGCAGTGACAGCAGCACGAGCCTTTGGCAGCCCTCCCTTTCTGCAAGGCAGCAGACCCAGCTGCTCTCTTCGTCCGTGCGCTTCCCTCCRGCCTGGTGCTTTTCACTGGGACCCGGCAAGCAAAGGACAAGTAGAAGGACAAGGAAAGCTTCGAGGAAGCTCCTTTGCAAGGGTTTTTATTAAGACTCCACTGAGAGCTGAAAGGTACTAATGGGTGCCAGAGCTCAGTGTTAAAGGGTGCACTGCAAGGCCAGACCTCCAAACCAGAGCTGGGCTTGGGATTAAGTAGTTAAGTGAGAGGATGCACAGCAAGATGCACTGCAAGGCTGCACTCAGCCTTTCCACAGGAGAAAGATATCCCAGTAACTAAAAAAAGCCTTTCACTGTGGGGGTGTGGGATGGAATGTTAGCTCAAGAAAACAGCAATTTTCTACACAAGGGAATTAATAGTAATTCTGCTTAGAGTTCTAAACCAGAGGGTCTGGTGAGACATGGCTAAAGAACTGCCAGCAGAAAATAAAAATTACTTAAATAGAACTAGACCCAGACAAAGATGACATCACAGCTTCAGAAGGCCTCCTTATTCCACAATAGTTGGAAATCGCTGACATGCAGATAAAAAGCAGAGAACAAGTGTTTGACTTACGCAAGCTCCAAGCATCTTCTAAGAGAACTTAGAAAGTTACTAAGAATCTCCCTACAATACAACTGGTTAAGATATAAGCAGCACAGAACTAAGGTGGTGCCACTGGTATCAGGCAGGTGAGCTTAGTATATTCTTAAATGCCAGAAAAAAAGAGGAGATTAGTGAGATTCCAGTTTACTGATAAAAACAAGAGAGTCATACCTACGGTGTATGGGAATCAAAGTCTGTCCTAATACTTGGTGACTAGTTAAAGAAAACAGTGAAAAACAAGAGCAATACATAAGCTAAAAGAGCCTTAAATCAGTCACTACTGCTCAAATAGCTTAGTCATTAAGTTGGTTACGAGAAGAAARCATTTCTATCAAAATACAAATAAGGCATTATTAGCAAAAGGCTTAAGACAAGAGAAAGTTGAGATTATATAAACGCAGCCCTCGTGCCCAGCCAGGCCACCTGACCTTAAAGCACAGTCAATAAAATTAGAAGAGGTAAAAGCAACAGGAACAGTTAGTAGTGCAGCAGTAGCTTCCATACCAGGAGCAACCAAGAGGCAAGGGCCCTTCCTCACGCTAGCAACAGGGCAGCAAGGAGGGCGAAAGGTGCTAGACGTTTCATTAGAGATAAGRGCGAATCAAAAGCACTTGTATCCTCAGAACAGTGATTAGAAATAGACAAAAGACATAAAAACAAGCAACAGACATTAAGACTGGAGAAGTCATCCTCTTCCCTCTCTCCTCACCACAGCACTGAGTTCAAATTAGGAACTCCCGGCCACAGAACATGGTGGTTGCCAGGAGTTCAAATGRTTCAGAAGTTACTAGAGAAAGCAACACAAGACAGACCTATTGAATGCCACACACGGCTGGAGCCTGCAGCTCTGATGTCCCTTAACTGCAGGCGGCGGGAAGCAGAAAGGTTATAGGGAACTTGCCTCGYCCGACTGTCACCTTTACGCCCACGTTACTGGGCGCATCACACAGCAAAGCAGGTCAGATCCTCTGGCCAGAGCCTGCCCCAGCTCCTACAGTTCAGACAGCTGCCCTGGAGGCAGTGCTCACGTTCTGCCTGACATTTAGGGGACGACACGGCTCGAGAGACCTCCTGGCTGCGTCAAACATAGAAGATGCCACGGGAAACACGCAGCAGGAACACAGGCTTTTGAGTGGTATGTTCGGATTAAGAGCAAGCCKGTTAGGAGGGCTACAGCTTCTATGTTTAAGTTGACAGTAGTTATTTTGATAACATCTCTGATGAGATTGTTTGCGAATGCGTTGTTAAAAAGGAGACAAAGATAACACAAACATTCTCCAATTCAGTATCCAGCACCGTATCTTCACTCGGTCATAGCACAGCTTGTCCTTCTTATTCTCCAAACACTGACTTGCTCTTGTAGTTCACTGATTTTTTTAARTATTTTTATTAAAGTTAGTTATATGAGATCTGCCAAAGATAGCATAGGCTGGAATTCACTTGTGCTAGAGAAAATAGTCTGGTAAAAAACATTGTCTGCAGYATTATATTTAATATTTGGAAAGCTGCTAAAAACAAACATTTTCTATGCTGTATTTTCTAAACATTGTAAAATGAATAATCTCAAATCAAAACATACACAAGTTGTCTCATGCATTTTTCTATTTGATTACACATTGCTTATGAATAGCATTAAAAGCATTTTAGACACGTAGATTCAAAATACTGCTTCTGTAAACCACAGCAAGTCAATGGTGAAAATATAGTATATTAAGGAATAAGGTAAATATAAGGACTGRTAAAACCCTCTACCACAGAAGCCTACCTCCAACCTTACAGAACACAGTGCAGCGTTACTGATTTCAGCAGGAGCAGGACCCAGCGCTACAGCACACATGCAGACCAACTGTAATCTTCTAGAACTATCCAGTTGCAAAAATCTGAAGTCAGTTGTTCTCCACTTCTTTTTAAAGAGTGGATACACTCTGAATGCATTTGGCTTCTTAGATCATATTATTTCTCAAAGGAAAACGGATACACTTCAGAGAGACTAAAAATTGCTGGTCCTGACTGGCTTTAAAGAAAAAAAGKAGAGAGAAAGACAGAGGGAAAGATATCCTGCAGTACTGAGAGTTGTTACCTGCATGGCTACCAAAGCTCACATCATTACAACAAAGCTTTCAGAGTCTCTAAAAGCATGTACAAAAGCAAGGAGGTTTGGGTTTCAGGATGAAAATCCTGGTTTGACAGTCCATCCTTAACTCACCGCGTCGATATTGTAGGGGTCTCCAAACAGCAAACAGTATGCGCTCCATCTCGTCTGAAAAATCTAGGCACAATGGGGGTTGAGTTAAGGAAAGAATGTCAGACCTATGTTTAGCCTTTAAGAGAATCTATTTAAGGTTCAAAAATTTATCTTTTTAGCAACATATTACAGCCTTATTGAGCATTCCTGGAGGATAAGTTGTGGTTACATCGTTATTTGCTTTCTATTATTGTTTGTCTGTCCAAGGAAAAGGTTTCAGAAAGTTAGTTATCATCTTCCCTTTGTAACTCCTCCAGGAATGCTACCAACGGTAAATTTTGAGTCCTAAATAGGTTGCCAGTGTCACCCTTTCTGGAGGGCTGCTTGATCAATCTCTCCCCCTCCCTACCAACCATACTTTATGTACTTTCAGTAGCAGCTGATGTTTACAACAACAGGACAATCTTATTTCAAAACTGTATTTGAGGATTTTCACTTCTGAGAAGCTGTCTTGCCTTTAGCTGTAGGCAGGCTGCGAGAAGCAGGAGGTCAGGCAATAGATCAGCCTCATACAGCCCTGCAGCGCTGCTAGGATAAGTCAGATCATTTCCTCACCCTTGGCCTCCAGGTAAGGAACAACAGGGATACTTTGTTGGAGGGAGCACAGCTCWAATTTAGAAGGATGCATCAGATCCTGGTGATGGCTGGAGACTAGGAGCAAGATCAGTGCAACATGCAGGCAGGAGCTGCTAGAGATGGCTTTCATAACGCAAGAACACTGTTTATAGAATTGTATTATTTCCTTCTTCCCATTTACTGCTCTAATAATCCATCATCAAGGAATTATTTTTTTCCAATCAGAGTAAAGCAGAAGTTTCAGAGAGTTAGTTTATTAYCTGATGTGCTATGCTGGAAATGATCACCCATGCTCACAGTAGTGATAACAGCAAAAAGCAAAGCCATCCCCTTCCCAGTGGGTTTCAACCAGAGAGTAGACAGACCTGGTAACACGCTTGCAAGCTATATGGTTAAACAGGGTTACAGGGAAGTCATCTCTGCTCTGTTGAGGTAGCTTGGGTGCCACATTCTGAGGTGTGCTTCAGGGAATTTAAAGAACTTTGAATTTCCCTGCCCCYGCAGCACGGGTTAACCTGCAGCAGGCACTGCCCTGGGAAGAGCAATGCTCGTCCCGCTGCATTCACCTGAACTGCCAAGACGACTACAGTCATCTTGCAGTGTTTGCAGCTCAGGCCTAAAGATACTATTGGGATGCTCACTGCAACAGTCACTAAAACGTGATTACTACTACAATTACTATCTGCACGTCGCAGTATGACCAGATCCGTCTCACTCCCCAGTCCAAAGACCAACGGGCAATTTACAACTCAGGGCAGGCTTTGAGCAAGTCAAAGTGAAATCTGCATTCAGATCGCAGGATCTACAGCAAAAAAGCAACTTTACCCACTGCCATTACACTCTTCAAGTCATTGACACATATTTTGTCACAGAAGTTGCCCATAAATGAGATGTGAATTTTGAAGTTGCAGCCAAATGCTTCTTGTTATGAAGTGATATCAATAGAGCAGCTTCCTCATGAACACCAGAATTACATGGAAAGTTAGGAGTTCAAAGTATCCAAAATATCACATTAGTAATGAACATCTTCATAGCAAAATAAATTATTTTCTCCACAGACAGAAAAGTTGCATGGCACGTTGAGCAAAGCAGTACAGCTCTACTGATATAGGAGGCTAAACATCAGGGCAAACAAGCTATYCTGAAAAACAAAAGGATGGAATGGAGGAAATGGGACAGTTCCTGCCTTGAAGAAAAATAAATAGACAAAAAGTTTTCGGATAGATGTCTGAGCTTGCTTCTGGTCTCTCAAGATGCAAAAGATTTTTAACAGTATATTGGTTTTAGTTTTATTAGAAACAGCAAAATATCACAGGTTCTAAATGTAGTTTTAACAGTTGCAGAGCAGGAGGGTAAGTCATTTAAATTTTTTTTTTTTCCCTCCTTTTCCCCAAAACAATGGTCATGCTGTTTGGGACAATTCTAGCTTTCTGTACAAAACTGATCTCACCAAGATGCACAAATCTTAGGAGAACTAACCACATTTGAWTGTCAGTTCACTAATTTATAGCATGCAAAGGAGAAAAACTGCGAGTGTTAAGTGCCTTGACACTTAAGGTCAGTACCTTAAGTCAGTATTAAACACTGCACAATCTAGAGAAGGCTGTTTTAATAAAAGCCTTTAACAAAAGCCTTTCAGTCATACGAAAAAATGTGAAGCACAATTTTTTTATGGGGGTTCGTCAGGGGTAATTAGTTTAGCCTGTGGAGCTACTATAAGAAAATTACTATTTACAGTTCAAGAGTAAAAAGAACAATATATATATATATATTTCTAATTTAAATAAAAAGCTTCTTACACTTCAACATTTTTCTGCTGCAGACCAGATGTCTTCTTGCCTGGAGCAGCACCTCTCATCTTCCCCTCTGCATATTGTTCCCTTTGAAAAATAAATTTGGCAATAAGACTTTAAGGAAGAGAAAAGCACGTTTTTCTGAAAAGTTAACAGATTATGCAAAATATTTAGAGAACTTTAAGTAAATAGCTTTAGAAAAACAGCCAAGGAAGACAGCATTGGTCACAAGCAGGAGCAAATTCAACTCAATACAGGAAAGCTTTATGCTTCTTCATATAAAAAGCAGTGTAAACACTCATTTTTTCCTCTTCCCACCATCTATTATTCTGAATCATGAGGAAGCTGCACACTGCCTGCTTCAGAAAAACGCAAAACATTCTAGAGTAAAACATTTTTATCTCCCCTCCCACCCACGTCCACGAGCATTCCCTTGATCAAAGCAGCCTCCTGAAGCTCTCTGAGAGGATTCTTACTCCTTAGCAGCGCATTCCAAGTATCCTGCAGGAGGAGCACGGCTGTAACCGTGCAATTCCAGCGCTGAAGAACACAGTCGTAACTAGCCAGGCTGCCCCCAAGTTCCCAAGCTGCTCCAGGCTGTTTCCCAATCCACCTTTCCACGAAGCCTGGAGTTGCTGCTTTAATAAAGACTAAGTTGCTACTTATTTTTAACAAGCACACCTCCTGAAGACTTTGTATTTTTTAAACTCATTAACTTCCCTTAATAATACAGTTATTGGATTGAAGCTCTGCAGACGAAAAGATAACTTCACTAACAAGGACTTAAAAAACCAACTTACTGATTGGCCTTTTGAAGTTCTTTTTGTTTCTGCAAATTGGTATCCACGTATTTGAGCACTCTGCTTTCTGGAACCCATTCATCCCAGCTGAAAAATCAAATAATCATTCAAAAACACTACATAATTGGATTCTTGTCCCAACAGTCAATTAAAAGCTTCACAGAATTTCAGGCTGAACTCTGCTTTTGTGACAAGTTACGGAGTGGCACAATTGAAAGCAGTAAATTATTAAATGCATTCCCCACTGACTGAAGATGCAGCAGTTTTTCTAGGGAATATAATCCTCAGCTATTTCTGAAGAGTTTCAGAAACTTGAAGGATGAGTAACTTGGGGAGGAGGGGATTGTCTTAAATTTAATAGCATGTCAGGAAAAAAAAATCTACACTTACTAAAATTATAGGACATCTGTAGCCATAACTGTATTATGAAGCAAGATTCCTTTATCTATTCCAACATTTTATAGGTTAACAAATTCAGCAATAAGATCTTACTGTAAGAAGAAGAGCTCTGATTTCTGTCTGTGAAGGAAACCAAGATGGCATGAATTTTTGAAGAATCTGAAGTGAACGATTTAAGAGAACAGGTGTTGGGGAAATTGCCGTTATGAGCAAGAATTCCACTTTCACAAAGAGTGGATAATCACTGTGCAATCTGACAAATTTCAAATAAATAAATACATTAAAAGTGGCCACGTGTGCAAGCTAAAGCTCCACATATGAAAAGTTCCACATCATTTTTTATTTAATGGCAAGAACTGCCAGTCTTAGAACATCAGCATGGCAAGAACTACTGCAAGAGGATAAGGTCTTTGAGATTAAGACACAGCAAACTCAGCATCTAAGTGTCACCGAAAAACACACCCAGCTGCACCTGTCCTAAAGCTACAGTTTGGGCTAGTGCTTTGGTCAGGTATCTTAGCCACTTATCTTACTCCTTAGAGCCGTGGGACACAACTGTGCTGCACATAGTATAGGGAATGGTGAAGAAACTCTTTTTTGCTACCTTAACTGGTGATATTGGAAGAAAAAAAAGTAATCAACAAGTACAAAAGGACTGCAACTGTAGAACTCCAAATTAAGGGGATATACAGTCCCAGCTGTCCAGTCAATAAGAAAATTAACGTAGTCAATTGGAAGCTTGGGGGGAAAGGGAGAAGGAAAAAAAGCAACAAAACAGTGCAAGCAAGAAAAGGAAGAGTCCAGCACTGCTTAGGGCACCCTCCATCCCAGGAGAGGGAACAAGAAGGGGAAGCATTAAACTGATGCTGCCTCATCAATATCCAGCAGCCAGATCAGGAACCAGGGACGCTTCCTGTAACTTGCAGTGTTCGAGTAAGGCTCTTATCTGCTCATTTTGTAGGCGATATGTTTAAAAAAATTATTAGGTATCAAAACAGGAAGCTCAGCTTTTAGTCAAATAGGGCGAGCTGACGATATTAGTCCTCACTCAAGAGAAGGCAGCACTGGGATGACAGAAAGTTCAGAAAAACTCCAAGTCTCTTTCAGAGAGGGTTTGAAGAGCTGAAGTTTTTCATCACCAAGGTGGGGCGGGGAGGGGGGACTTCCTAAATGCATAACCCTGTCACAGACGAGTCACATGAGGAAAAAAGCAGTTATGCAAACGTGATAGTGCTATATTTTTGTAGAAGGGAAAAATAACTCTAGTTTTACCTTTGCATGAGAGGCAAAAACTGAAATATTGGCTAAACCTGCTCATGTGACAGATTAAAACAGATGGCCTCTCCCACTGAGTGCAGCCTCCACGAAGGCAGGCTACTCCACAGCTTCACACCACTTCTGGTGGCCAAGGTTGGCTACAAGAGTGAATGACACCACTCTGAGAAGCAGAYAGTTTTGCTCCACTTCAGCAGGGATTGCACCTCCTACCCACACGTAAGGAAATATTTGTACTAAATCCCGTGGAAGAAAGGAATAATAGCAACTATTTCCAAATCTGAACAAACAGAATTAGAGAGCACTACAGACAAAGCATTTTGGTTAGACAACTGACAGCTTAAACTAGTTGGTTTGTACAACCAAAGCTCTGAAGGAAACAGTTGAGCAATGTGTTTACTCTGTTACTAGAAATCATCAGCTTCAGTATAAAAATCATTTAATTTCAGAACTAATCTCCTAGTGGCATGTAGTTGGGAGTGCTAATCCATTAAGGCAGCTGACAACCTGAAAAGAAAAATGAAGTACTGCCTTCATTTTATGTTAATACTTACTTTTTATTCCAACCACTGTAATGGATAAAGTATTTCACTTGTTTGTCCTTTATGGCAACCTTTACGCACTGGAATAGAGGACAAAGATCAGTCAGTATCAACAAGAACAAGATTTCTGAGCGATTTTTGAGCTTTTGGAATCTAAACATGCAGATTTCCATGCAAGCCATAAAAATACCGGGGAATAACCTCAAAGCAGAAAGTCTGTAACACCCCCTGCTACCTATGCACGGGTGTGGAGGGGCCTGGCAGACAGAATGACCTTCTTTCAGAGGAGGGACCAAAAGCAGACCAGGAAGCAAGTGGGCCCCTAACTACCCCACGCTGCTCCCTGGAGTTTGCCCACATGCAGCCCCTACCTCCCAGGCGGGTCGCCCGGCTGAAGTGGAGGAGTCTTCAAAAGTAAAGCAAGGAATACGGGTTTCTATAACCACAGAGAGCACAGTATATTCACTAGGGAAAGCTGCAGTAAGGGCYATTTCTCAGTCAAGGATGTATACAGGAAGAAGAGGTATTTCTATGAGTAGACTGTCCTGAGAAGGCAGTAGCTTCCCAACACGGGCATTAAGACATKCAGGCACGCTCAGCTACCCAAACAGTGCACAACACCCGTGAGATGCAGCAGGGACCCCTCCTAGAAACTTTTCCATCTTACATTTTAGCACGGCCCACGTGGCAGCCTCCAAGATGCCATCTCAGCTTCCGTGCAAGGAGGATATCCAGGCCCCTGCTACCCAGGTAGCTGCCCAAGCCCTACACCTGCAGATAGCCTAGCAGGGAAATGTCCACTCTCCACTAAATCCGAAACACCACTAGAGACATGGCCCTCTTGCAAGGCCACAGCCCACAACAGGTGTTGTATGGGTTTATCTTAACTAGTTTATCCTAGTTAACTATCCTAACTAGTTTATCTTAATGACTTCTGCACAATAACAACTTCCTGAACTTCTTAGCTGCATGAAATCAAATCCTTCCCTCTGGTCTTGGATAAGGCACCTCCCTTGGAAACACATCAAGTCTTGTTCTGGAGACCTTGGGACAGAGACACCGCCCTTGGCTACCATGTAACAACAACATTCTCCAACTTATTATTTCTACTGTTAGAAACACGACAAACCTGCCTCTCTGGCGTTAGTTTCTAATCGTTGTTTATTCTTAAGGCTCTCACTGAAATGAAGAACAATTCACARAAGTATTACTTGCTGTTTTCTTGCCATGCTACTGAGTCACCTCTAAGTGCTTCTGAGATGCCGGAGTCCTCCTCAAACGGAGCTTGGTCTCACCTCAACTTGCAGCGAGGATCAAGGACCTCACAATCCTGCGGCTCATTTTGACTACCTAGTTCACTGTAATCTTGGAGTTATCCAGACCAAGTGACAGACCATATGCTGAAGTCATTATCTACTCTTTCTGATCATCTTGCTGTGGCAAGTCACACATATGGTCATAAAGACTGATATATGTTAGTCACGTATCAAGAACTACAAAGAACAGATCAAAGGAACAGCAATAAGGCCAAGGATGATATTACTACAATCTAGAGAATAACTTAATAAAACTTAAATCCAATTCCTTCTGTGACTTCAGAAGCCCAGAACAGCCTGGGTTCTCTGTGTAACAACAGCCCAAAGCTCCTTTGCTGCTCAGAAAATCCTCTCTGGCACGAGACTGGCAGAAGCAGCTCTCAAGACATGTGGCCCACCCTTGTGTAATGGGGAGAAGGGGCAAATCATGACATAGCAGAGAAGAACAGGCAGCTCTAGCGGCTCTTGGGCTGCTCTACTCAAGCGCAGAGGCCGGAATGCTGCTATCCAGCGCTGGCTTTCACAGAGGAAAAGCCTCCTGCCCTGCCAGCACCAGCAGCCACACACGCCAGGCAGGAGGTGCCAGTCCCAGYAGAGACACGCAGCCAACTTGCCCTCTAGTGCTAGAGCAAAGGAAAGAGCAGGTTCGAATTATCAGAACAGAAATAGGCTTTTTAAGCGGAAACAGCCAATGAAACAGGAAGCTAAACCTTCAGGAAAAGGAATGGCACTGCAGTGATATCTGGTTAAAGCCCACAGGAAAAGAAAACCACGACAAGAGTTTGACAGAGTCTGCATGTAATGCAGTTAAGAAAACTCCAAGTCACAAATATGCAATATGTTATTTCTCGGGTGAGAGTCAAACTAAGAACACTAYCTACTTAGCAGGCAGTAGTTAAACCCAGCATTACTTTCTACAGTTTTGTCCCTTTTGAAGACCATCTATATATCTGCGAAGCCCAAATTACATTTAACTTAGTAGTTCCTATATTGGCACCAGCATCTGGTCTTAGCACCCTGAACACTGCCCAGCATTCTGGAAATCCAGGAGCATTATAGATGTTCAACACAAGATCTGGCCTTTAGTAGTTTACCAGAATATCTGTGCAGCACCATAAAATAAAATAAAATAAAATAAAATAAAATAAAATAAAATAAAATAAAATAAAATAAAATAAAATAAAATAAAATAAAATAAAATAAAATAAANAAAATAAAATAAAATAAAATAAAATAAAATAAAATAAAATAAAATAAAATAAAATAAAATAAAATAAAATAAAATAAAATAAAATAAAATAAAATCTCTTCTGTAGAAAGCAAGGAACTACAGGGTTTAGAAACACTGCAGTGTGAATCAGGATTTCTGGGATTTTAACTTCAATACTTAATCCCATCTAGGCAAGGCACAGCAATAAACTAATGAAATCCTTTCCTTTCTTAAGCGACAGCCAGTACCTTCCAGAGCACCAATCAGCCTCACGTACCTTTGCTTCATAAAGGAGAGGTCCATGAAAACAAAGCACTCGTTCACCTGAAAGAAAGTTGCAGACATCCATGTCAGAACAGCCTCAGTGTGTCCCCCCTGGAAACGTGCATGTGAGGAAACACTGCATGAGGAGACACGGGATGACTAGTCCCTGTGAGAGCGTACAATGAAGGCCACATCAGCAGAAAGCACATACTAATTTCAGGAGCAGACTGGTGTTTTGGAAGACCTTTGATGTWATGTTTTAAAAAAATGCATAAATAAAAGCTCTGGTTGTTTAGGCCATGAAGCAAATATCCCTAAGCAGTTTCTTGCTGAACACTCACTGAAGACAACCAGCACCAAACTGCATATTCCTGCCCATGCTGCTGGCCACTGCCAAGTCCAGGTACAGACATTTCTGCAGTCCGTTTCAAGGCTGCACAGATCCTTTGCAGCCTCAGATTTCTGAGGCAGAAGGAAAGCATGCGACCCTGCATAAATGGATAGTCCAGCCTCAGTAAGGTCTCTTTTAGCTACTCCCTGAGACTAAGGGGCCTCCAAGTCTCTGAAACTTTGATTCAGAGCAGGAAATCAGTTCCCAGTAGGAGACACCACCTCTGCATCACAAACTGCTTACATAAATGGAAGCAACTATGTGATCAGCACTCATTTCCTTGCAGCAAGTACAATAGTYGGTGTTTGTAATTCAGTGAAGTCAGAAGGAAAAGAGAGACGTTATTTTCCCCAGTCTGCTGCAGAGACAGAGGAGCACCTGGCTTGTGCCATGCACAGGAGCTGTTCACGCTGCAGCTTTCATTGAAGTAGGAAGAGATGATCCCGCAGACTGCTTCTTTCCAACAGCCAGAAGGTCTTGCGCAGTTACATTGTGGGAGTCGGATTTACCTCACACAGGATATCAGAGTACAGATGTTTCCTCCTAGGAGCTGACGTGCTCACATTTCAGAGGGGCAAGCTGCCTAATATCTATTGTACTCCCAAATGCAGCACACACCAAGGTTCTGCCACCGTTCCCAGGACACAGAGGGCAGAACAGCAGTGTCAACGTTAGCACTGCAAGCCCACGCCAACACTTGCACCCCAAACTAGGGGAGAAGGAGGCTCTATCACTAGCTACAGAGAATCCTAGAGCCTTTTTCCCTGCAAGGAGCTCAGGAATGACCATGGCAGGTCACAACCCCAGCGTGGCCATGCCAGCCTAATATCCAAGGCTGTAAGGGCTCTCCGTTTTAAATCTTGTGTTTTCCAATACTCATTTCTGCAAACTTAAGTGAAAACATGGCCAGCAGCATGCAGCATCCCTCAACCAGGATCACTAACTGGGACTCCTCTTGAAACCAAGGCCATTCCAGCTTTATGTGCCTGCTTTTACACTGTGTGAACACAGCTCAGTTTAATGAAGTTCTTCACTGCAGAGACTCTACACAACCAATCACTCTGCAAACAGCTACCGAAACTGAGCTTCTTCAGAGGTTTGAGCAGCTGGGATAGGGAAGCCCTTGCACGCACTCCAGAAGCACATTCCTGAAGGGACAGTGATGGCATATGGATCCGGAGATGCTGACAGGACACTGGGTTCCATCTCCATGAGGTTAGGGAGTTTTCTCCCATGCAGCGCTTCACCAGCAAGGCTAGGAAATGGTGACACAGGCAGAAATGGCACCAGTCTCCTCGGCCAGTATAGATGGAACAGATTTTCTCTCAGCATGCCCAAACCTCCAGTTGAAAATGCATTTGTAAAGGAGTCATCATTAAAGCTAATWATTATTATCTGTATTAATGAAGGCCAAAACCCACAAGGAAGCGAAGAGTATGCAGAGTAACAGGGGGAAAGGCCTGAAGCTTCCAGGCGGGGAAGATGAGCAGCGGGACACAAAGACCGCGGGATTTTTGTCTCTCCTTCCCGCTCTGCTCGCTGAGGGGAGGCCGGAGGCTGCAGCCCCCGCCGAGCAGGACGGGGGGCGGGAGGCCGGGCCTCGCCTGGGGGTGGGGGGGCCGCCATGCTGCGGCCTGCGAGGTGCCAGCAGACCCCCCCAGACTGGGAAAAAAAACCCTTCAAACATGGCATTTTCCCTTTTTTAACCGTTTTCTTTCCTGCGTTCCCTCAGGGATGGCAGGACAGGGATCAAACGCCGGCGCTTCCCTCAAGGCGGGAGCTGCCGCCGCCCCCACCCCCCAACCCCGCCGCCCTTCTCCTCAGGCTCCCTCTGCCCCCCAAACCTCCTCTCGCCCCCCCGACCGCACTCACCCTCTTGGAATTTGGGCTTGGGGTCCTGCTTGGGCGCCATTTATAAGCGCCTCGCCCTCCTCCTCCCGCCCCCTCCCCGCGGGGGCCTCACCGCCTCCGCCGCATGACGAGCGGGCGGTCCCGGCGCCCCCAACCCGCACCGCGCCTGCGCGCCGCCCTCACCCGACTGCGCACGCGCGTCCCCGCGGCATGCTGGGACTTGTAGTGCGGGAATGGGATCGGTCGCGAGGCATGTCGGGATTTGTAGTGCCAGGTCGGCGGGGGCGCTTCCTTGCTCCCAGSTGCTCTTTCCCAGGGACTCCCAGTTGCTGTTGCGTGGCCGGAAAGAGCGGGAAGGAAAGGAAAGCAAAAAAGAAAGGAGAAAAATCAGAAGAGGAAACAAAAACAAAAAGGAAGAAAATTCATRCGCCCAACGTGGGGCTCGAACCCACGACCCTGGGATTAAGAGTCCCATGCTCTACCGACTGAGCTAGCCGGGCGCTGAGAGTTCATCCCCTCCGCTGGCCTTGTGAGCAGCGCGGCGTGAGGGGCGTTCGGTGTGGCCACTAGAGGCCGCCGTAACGGGGGGCTCGGGGCGCAGCGGCCACGGAGGGGCGGCCCCGGCCCCCCCCGCGGCTCCCCCGCCTCCCGCCGCGCCTGGCCCCAAGTCCGCCTTCTAGGGAGACTGCCCCATGTTGAGTGTTTCCCTTCCAAAAATGTTTATTTTACTCTGTTTTCTTACTTTAATGATGATCACTTAAATATATGCATATACGTTATCTGTCTATCTATCTTCTACCAAGGACAACAAAAATGGAGCACAAAAAGCAAACTTCCTGGGAGAGCAACGCGGTTTTTCCATTGCGGTTTGGAAACACGGAACAGTCTCCAAACTCCTTGGTCTTTGTACTTTTTGAGAGATAAGCAACTAAATATTTTGCATTCCCAGAGACATCCTGCATTTCCCGTCCATTCGCTGTAAAGAGCATTCCGAGGACGCGGGCCCGCGTTAAATACTCGCCGTGTTAATGAGCGCGCGGAGCRGCCGCGCTCTGCATTGTCCCCCGCGCAAGGGGCGGCATCGGGGAGCAGCGAGTCACACAGTAAAATAGCGGCACGTCCGGCAGCCTCAGTGCCGCGATGGAGAGTTATTAAAAATGGAACCGAGTTAGCCAAACCTTGCACTTCCC